ATAAACTGAGATATCACATATGTTACATGACTGTATATATAGAAAAGGATGGTGTCACACCAGTTTTATAGCTCCACAATGCAGAAATTCTTGGGAACTACTTACTAGTACAGAACTTTTGTAACAGAGTGGGGAATCAGTCTCCGTATGATCTTTTTGGACAATGCAGTTGAATTCATTTCACCTCCCTTTAGATGTCTGCAGTGCAGATACATATGAGCTAGTCACCCAAGGCTACTTTTGGAGTGAATTATAAGAGATGGGTGCTTTTAGGGTACAATTCTCCCAATCTGTTTGGAGATCTAATTTAAGATGAGATAAAGTGCACCCAGAAGTGACTGGCGCTGTCCATTGACTGTAAAGGAAGTCTAAACAACTAAAGCAATTGTAGGCACAAATGCTACAGATACTTGCATTTGGTCAGATGTGTCCCCTCCCGTGTGGCTGTATAACAGTACTGTGTTGTATGCAGTAGTCATTTTTTTGTTGGTTCATACATAAGACTTATTTTTTTTTCCTGTTAAAGAAAATTCCATTTGGTACTTTCTTTTGTATAAGAAATGATTACAGGATGCAAGTTGCAAGTGAAACAGTCAGTTTAAGAAATCAGATATAATAAAATTAGATCATTCAATAAGTCAGAGAATTAAATTAACTTACAGTAATTGTGACCTGTAGTGATGCCACAGGATCAAAAAATGTAGGAGTGAGTCTTTAAAAATTAGTTTCATTTAATCTGAGATCAAGGTTGCAATCATGTTATTTTATGTTGGCATGGAGAGAATCAGACAATGCCTTAGCTGTGACTCCGCATTTTGTAGATTTCAAAGACAAGTTCAGCTCACATACAAAGGAATTTTACTCCTAATTTTAATTATGGATGATCTTTACCACGGTGTGAGTGTGCAAACCGGTTTCTTCAGGGAAAGAAAGAGCATAAACTTACAGCACTTCAACCAGTGTTGGATAATTGCGCGTGAGCATGCTTTTTCCCAGGAGCACTTCGCACAAACGGACTGCGTGTGCAGTTAGTTTCCATGGAGTAGCTGACATGTTCTACCTTCCTTTCCTAGAGCAGTGCTGAGGCTGAGGAAGCTTCGACTTTGTCATAGGTTATATAAGGAGCGTGCTGGGTGGTCTTCGGCAAATGATTTCACTAAGTTGTGCCTCAGTTTCCCTTTAATTTGCAGGATATTGATATCAATATCTTAGGAAGCACTCATGAGATCTGCTAATGAACAAGTGCTTCACCAGAGCCAAGTAGTGCCATTAATCATTGACTGAACATCCAGTGTATTTGTCTGAATAGACTTTTATTAAGACGGGGTACAATGGCTTAAGGTGAGTCAGATTTTACACTGACAGGAACGTAGGTACGTTTTTTGAATAGGAAAGAATTGCTTTCCACTAGACCTGTTAAACCAATGTGTTTTACCTCTTGACAAGGTACTGAGTCATCCACGGCCTGGAGGAAAGCACTTAAATCATCAATAAATGGCCATTCTGCCCTGTAAGAGAGCCAGGTTCACTTCTCAAGACTCCATACGTCATTCCTCGGTTGGACAAATGTTGGCAGAGCAGAAGTGGCCCTGAAAGTGAAGTGGGGAGCAGATAGGTTGCATGTCAGGGCGTTCAGGGAACGATGCTGACTGGTTCCAAAGAGCATCGTCTGCAGCAGGACAGTTTTGTTGTGATTTAGGATTTTTCTGTAGGTTTAGGTCTAGGTCAGAGAAGCCTTCAGAAGGTATGGAAGTGTAGGTCCTCTGAAATCCATCTAGTTCACTGCTTGCTAGGCAGATAGGCAGTGAAAATGCTAGCACATTGGGCCATTCAGAAGATCCCAAGGCCGTGTGTTCCATTGCTTCTGTAATTGAACTTACTGCACATACCTTCTTTATCTCCCAGGACTCTCTGGTGTTAGGGTCATCCTCCAAGCTCCTCTTTTCAGTAAGCCCCTCTTCCTTATGCCAGTTACTCTGCATCTCTCTTGCTTTTTAATCCTTCTCCCTGCAAAACCATTTCTCTTCATCTCCAGTGAGAGTACCAGTGTTTGCTGCCTTTCCCTTTCCTTCCCAGAGCTGGGAATGTCTTGATTGCTTCTGCTCTTCTTACGAACGTATCGCTGTTCTCTGTTCTGTCTGCTTCCGAAGTGCAAGAAAGGTTGAAATAAGTTGTTTCCTCCCTTTTCTTCCTCCCATTTCTTTTCCCTCCACACCAAGGGCTGCATTTGCTCCCGTTTCTCCTCCCTTCTCCCCAAGGCAGTTTTTTCCCCTCGAGGTTCTCTGGTTTTCTGTTTTCCACTTTTTCTTCAGAATCCCTTTCCTTTCCTTCTCTCTCCTATACTATCCTTCAGGAAAAAAGTCATGAAGGCGTTTGCCTTCCCTGTGTGGGGAAGGTGGCAGAGCTGGAACAAGCATATTGTTGTTCTGGAAGCTGTAAGTAGGACTTCTGGATTTCCTGAAGGTAAATAATTGATAGAAAGTACTTCTAAAGTAGCTGTGAAAACGGATGGATCCTGAGAGAGTAGTCCTGCCTTTGTGCCTTGGATCTCCTATTCAGTCTTTAGTTGCTTTTTTATTTTGTTTGGTGGGTAAGGGCCATCCATAGTTCCATCCAATGTGGCTAAATGTTACCTGTGAGAGGAATTTTATAATTTTTTTTTTTACGTGTGTCTGACAGTTTGTGGTCTCTGGATTAAAAAAGACTCTGTGGGCAAGATCATATGAAGGTATTTGCTTGCTTACCTCTCACAGAAATCAGCAGAGTTAAGGTGCCTATGTAAATATGCCCGTTGCTACTATGTGAAATTGAAACTGTGAGAAAGAAACAAGGGGACCCTGGAATACTAACAAGTGAGTAGGAAAAGGAATGTGTGATGAGCGGAAGAATGTCTTTGTCGTTAAGGATTTGGACCGATCTCTTTTATATATTTTTGGTTCTGCTACAGATGCTTTGGGTTGCCTTGCCCAAGTTACTTATCGTATAAATAAGATTTATCTATTTCTTAGATCTTTTTAATCTCCTGTTTATCTGCTTAGACAGATTTGTCTGCTATTTATCTGCTTAAACATCTCTGAGAACTTTACTCATTCTGTTCCTCTGGTAAACTAAGGGTAATAATGCTTCCTGATCTATGGTCTTGTCTGTTCAGGTAATAATCTGTTTTAATAGGGATTCTTTTCTATGCCACTGTGTGTTCCAGACATGATTGGTCTCCCAGTAAGATTAGGTACCGCCATAAAAACGTAGCACAGAGTTAATAATGCAAACACCATCTTTTGGTTTATCCACTGTTCAATTCTTATAAGCAATTACAAACATCTCCCGAATTAAGTTTTTCTTTTTTTTTTTTCCAGTTACTTTAGTAACTATATATTATTTGTTGTTGCTGCCTATTTGAAGAACTTGTTGTGTTTCTTAAGATTTACTAATAATTTACTAATCTTCTTGATTTATGTCACTATTTCAAATGTTGGTTATTATAGATAATTCCTTCAGTACTTCAAAAATAGGCACTATACAAAAAAATGAGTGGAACGTGTTAAACAGTCTAAAAATTGGACAGCTGTTGAATTCCAGAACTATTTTGAACTTTAACCTAGCAGGAAAAGACGTAAAACCTTGTTTTGAAAGCTGAAGTGAGAGAAATTCAAATTAGTAAAAAGATGCACATTTTCACTGTGAAAGTAAATATTAGTTGTGACAAGTTATGTAGTACTGTGAAACATTTTCCTTTTCTTGAATCTTCCTAAAATAGATGCTATTATGTAAAGAGAAGCAGTAGGGCTTTTGCCTAATACACTGTTTGACCTCTATTAATGCAGGAAGTCAGATTGCATTGTTGTAATAGTACTTTTGGCTTTAGAGCCTGTGAATTTTTGAATCTGTGAAATGTTTCTTTTTTTTTTATTTTCTAATTGAGCGTTAGCCTAATTCCTGAACCTACATCTATAGCTGAGGTGGTTGAGTTCTAGCATCATGTTTTTTTATGGCCTTTGATTCACTGACTTTAAATCAAAAGTGTCCTCCCTCTCGTGCAGTGATCAGTACTAAGTATAACATTTGATTAATGGGATTGGAGGGCTGGTTGTCTTGAAATTGGATTGCAAAGTGGGATATTATAGCTAAATCATCAAATCAGATCTGCAAAGATATTTCTGCTTGACATAGAGCACTTGTGCAAGGGGAAAATACACAGCAATTGTGGTTCTAAGAGGGAGTGAGAAAACACAAAAGGGATGCCTTAAAGAAAGCTACTCTGGCAAGTATCTATCTGTTTCTTGGTGTGAGTACTGAGAATTAGAATCACCTGTGAAACAAAAGAAATTTTTTAGATCTCTCTTCTTTGCCTGAAGGGGCAAAGGAATAAGAACTGGTATAAG